AAATTTGCTTTAATTTTAAAAAAATTAAAATTACTTGATTTTAAAATCTAAGACCGGGCCTCCCCGGTGGCGCAGCGGTTGAGCGCTGGGTTGCGAAGCTGCCCGGCTTCTGCGGCGCCGGTTCGATCCCCGGCTGCTCCCCGGCCACTGGAGGAGGGTCCCACAGGGCGCGCAGACCTCTCCTGCCGCCCGCTGCTCCCCTCAGCAGTGTACTTCGGTCCTTCTGCCTGCTCTGCTCCCCACTCTGGCTCTGGTGAATTCTCTCACCCTCCCGCGCTTCTGACTGTACCCAGTGCATGTATAAACAAACAAAACAAAACAAATAAATAAAAAACATGCCTCTATAAAAAAAAAATTAAAAAAAAAATAAAATAAAATCTAAGACCAACAAATTTTTTGTGTATTATATACCTTTTGAGGGTGAATGTTTGTTTTTCTCCTTATTTTAACCTAATATACCAAGATGGTTTTGGGTATTGTCTTTCATTCAAGTAAGAAATAAAACACTATTCTTAGACTTACAGTTTTAAATTTGAAGTGCAGCCTGTTGTTTTTTTTTTTTTGGTTTTGTTTTTTATGAAATATTAAGTAACAAAGTCAAAAGTACTCTTCTTTTTCTTCTAGCTTGTGGAGAAATTATCTTATGTGGACTGGCACCTCACATACTCTGAGCTTAAGAAGTTAGCATTATCTGAGAAGTTGCTATTTTTAAACTCATCTGTAATGTTTCTAACTTTGGTGTTCAGAGTAGTAGGTGCTTCTTTTCCCAGAAGCCTCTGTATTCTGTGCAGGCCAATTTGTAGCTACCTACAAGGAGCAACAGGCCCATTGCAGGTCATGTTTCTAACTTGAAAATTATGAGCAGGTATTGGGAGCCATGAGCTGTAATTGAGAACCAGCTGCATGTCAGCACAAGCATGGATTATGGTCTCCGGAGGCTGGGAGAGCACAATGCTTGAACTTAATTTCTTTGGGAAATAAGGAGGAAAAAATACCTTTCTACCCAACAAGGCTGACAACTTATTAAATATCTTCAGAAGTGTGCTGGACAGTTCTAAGTAAATCCACTTTTCAAAGATGATGATCAAGGAAACATCTCTACGAAGGGACCCGGATTTAAGGGGAGAGTTAGCTTTCCTAGCAAGGGGCTGTGATTTTGTTCTCCCATCAAGGTTTAAGAAGAGACTGAAGTTATTTCAGCAGACACAGGTTTGAAACTTGGGTGTTTCTTTAAAATATTTTATTACTAATAAAACCACCCAGTGAACTAATTTAAAAATAATTTTACAGCTCACTTTATACCAGATCAAGGAATTAATCTTGTTGTCTAACTATTTGCAGAAAGCTATTTGTAGAGAGATTCCAACAGGTTTAAATATAGTCCTGGATCTAGAGTATACAGTACTCATTGTAGAAAAGGAATCCAATTTTAGAGACATTCAATACAACTTACCAAATATTTTTCAGTTAAGCAAGGAAAGTAGTAGAATTTTTATTAGAAATGTCTCTGAGAAACTGGAATTTCTGTGTTTAGAAACATTATTTACACTTTGCTTAAATAGATTATATTAACATACATGCATCTGTAATGAATTATTTTTGAAAAAGAATATTAAGCCTGATAATTTTTTTAAAGGAAAAACTATTTTTATGTGTAGACAACTGTATATGTGTGATATATGTAGGTAATGAAGAATGGTATTTACTTCTGGACTGAAAAAATGTCATCTTTCAAGCTGTGAGACTGACTTATTTCTGCCTGCAATGACTATTTTGCAGAGTCCATACTGCTTGCTTACAACTTTAAGGCCAGCTAATTTTAAGTTTTCTGGCATTGAGTACAATATAAATCAAGGGCCATGCAAATGATGACCATCTGGAATCCAGCAAAAAAAAAATAGTTTCATAGTTATTCTTACCCAGAGTAATTTAAAATTATTTGGACCACATGAAATTGCCTTTTTAAAAAAAATATTTCAAAAATGGTTAAATATTGGAACCTGCTATTGTGACATAATACCATAGTGATACTAATTAGAATGAATTATCTCATTTTACAGGGCAAGACTAAAACAGAAATAAGATATATCACTGAGCTAACTCTATTCAAATGCATTCCTAGATTTGAATGAGAAACTTTATTCAAAGAGAATAGCTGTTAAACTTGCTGGTAAATCAGACAAAATTTATATTACTGTGTTTTTTTCTGTAATGTTTGTAAAGGATCATTTTATTGAACTACTTACACGTCTAAATTATGTGTCTTCTAGTGAATTGAATAAGTTAATTGATAGACCCAAAGTTTTAAATAAATTATTTTTCTTTAAATACTAACAGTAGTTTAATTAAATATGGAATTAACCAGTGCATTAATAGATACATCCTCTCGGAGACTTGCTTAATGCTAAGCAGTACACTAAGGAAAGTAGAAATATATAATCAAATCTTTTCCCATTCAGATAAAAACCTTTACAGGTAGCCACGGTTTGGTCTGAATGTCGCTTATGTGTAAAGTGTTTATTTAAGGCCTTGCTCTAAACCTTCTTTACTAGTTTACTAGACTATTGGGTTTCATCCCCACTGACACCAGTGGTCTTAATCCTGTGGTCATAAACTGCCTTGAAGTTATCTATAACTGCTCTGGTCACATATGGGAAACATTTTGAGGAACAATAAAAGTTTTGCTGATGAGTCTCATAAATCTCTTTCAGCATAGAATGGCAGAAAAGAAATGACACTCTTTTCAGTGACCTAGGTAAAGCCTATGAAGAAGTATATTTCTTATTTCAGAAATTCAAGAACAGTTTCTACTATTATTAATCCATGCTTATATAATAGTGCTCGCAAATTTAGCAGCAAGGCAGAGAAACATTTACTTAGAATAAATTATCAATTTGTTAAATCAAAAAGGGTTTGTAAACTTTAAATTGCTGTATAAATGCAAATTATTCAGTCTAAGGGACTAGTACAAGTTATGTTTAATTTATTAAGAATCCCACCCTTTGACCTGGTGACTCATTTTCTTAAATAAGGACATATCCGTACTGGCACTGTTGTGAAACTTTTGCCTCAATAGATCCTATAATTTACTTTAATCCACTCAACAACCTTCCAGTAAGTAGGGGTTATAATCTGTTTTATTATTGAAAGTCTAGAAGGCTAAGTAACTTTCTTGAGGTCACTAAGCTAGTAAGTCATCACTGTTTTCTGTTAGGTTTTTTTATTTATAAATCTGATTATAATTAGACTTTATATGGGTGGTATTCTGATACTACAGCAAAGGCTTGGTGTGACCACTGACCTTCATATCCCCAGTAGCAATAATATATGAGCAGACACCATTCTGTGTATTAATGTCAGATACTAACAAATGAAAAATGAACCATGGGTATGTAAAAGTAGATTAAATCATATTCATCATATGTCTTTGTGAACAAAGCTTAATTCTCCTATCATACTCATGCTTTTTTTTCAAGGGTATCTAAAAATCTTTATTCTGAACTTAAAGATTATGTTGTAAGCCTGCTTGTCAGAAGTAAATGATATTCAGATCTATTTCTTACAGATAAATCACTGTTCATTGTGCAGTAGAATAATTTAAGGAAGAATAACATTATAATACTTTGTGTTCAAGAATTTAAAATAAATTTACTTTGAATTTAGTAAACAGTCATGTCCTTTTTATACACTTCATGCAATAGTATCTAATACATTGCCATGTTCATAAACCTTGATAGTTAATTTGGTCAAAAGAGTAGAAATTAAAACATTAAAATCTTATGGAATCTTTTTTGCTTTTTATGGTAGGAACTTCAGAATTAAATTTGGTATTCATTGGTAAAATTAACTCCTACCTGAATGTTAGTGTATCAGCCCTCCCTATCCCATAAATCATGAGAAATCTTAATTTTCCTATTGTCCCCCCTTTTTATACCGTCCTTGATTATGTCTTTTTATGATACACAGTGTCAAATCCTCTTTGGAAAAAAGAATGCTGTAAACTATAAATGACTTAATAAACTGTAAAGGGAGTTTGACGGTGATGAAATTAATGACCAATGTCCTTGCTTATTAGAGCATACCAAAAATGAGAGAGATGTGTATCTTGGGGAAAAATGGTGTTCCTCTAGGGTAAATCAATCTGGCAGATATTCCCAAACTAAAATCCTTTATTTGTTTTTAACAAATATTTTATCTGCATCAGGGACTAGCAGTGATTCTACCTAGACAAAGTCAAACTAGAGAAGAAAGTGAAAGGAGCCACTCATCTTCTTCCCCCCCACCCCATGTGTTTTAGATCTGTATTTTTTTTTAATATTTATTTATTTATTTATACAAGCACTGGGTACAGTCAGAAGCATGGGAGGGTGAGAGAATTCTCAAGAGCCAGAGCGGGGAGCAAAGCAGGCAGAAGGAGCGAAGTACACTGCTGAGGGGAGCAGCGGGCGGCAGGAGAGGTCTGCACGCCAGGTGGGACCCTCCTCCGGTGGCCGGGGAGCAGCCAGGGATCAAATCGGCGCTGCAGAGGCTGCGGGCAGCTTCGCAGCCCAGCGCTCAACTGCTGCGCCACCGGGGAGGCCCAGATCTGTATATTTAAAGAACTCATTCTGTCTGCCTCTGAAAGGAGAGGTACAGATTCACAGGAAGACCAACAACAATCTCCAATTTCAACAGACTGAGGTCCTTAATATATTAACATGTTAACCAGAATTTAACAGTGTTAAATGTCTACCACATCACTGATGGAAAATTTACTGCAGAATTTTTAAGCATAAATCCATGCAAACTAAGGTACTGACATATAATTAAAGTATTCATTTAGTATGGGTAAGCATTTTCTAGAAGCATGCTTACCATGGCCTGGAATAGAAAGAGCTCTTGATCTCTATGTCGCTAACTGTGGTTTCTTGTACTTCTACTCAGCTACCTATTAGCTGTGAGAACTTTCAAGAAATATATATTCTTTAGAATTATGTCTCATAATTGTGTTTTCTTTCCAGATTCAAAATAAACCAGGAAAAAAACCTGGAACACCACTTCCACCTCCAGCCACTGTTCCAAGTAGCACCCAGCCTGTCTCCCCTATTCCTCATGTGAATAATGCCAGTACACCATTGTCGAAAAACATTCCACAGTTCTACTTTCCTGAAGGACTCCCAGATACCTGCAGTAACCATGAACAGACACTTAGCAGAATTGAAACTGCTTTCATGGATATTGAAGATCAAAAGGCAGACATTTATGAAATGGGAAAAATTGCAAAGGTAACATAACTACTGAATATATAATCTTCCTTTCTCAAGCAATCCCCATCTCCCTCTCTTCACTACCTCTTTGCTCTGTTTTTAAGCATGCATTTTTTTTCCATGTTGAAAAATTTATTTGATCCTGATATATTTTTAGCTATGGTCCTATTTCATGGAGCTCTTTTAAGTTTGAGAGAAACATTTGTGGTCTAACAGCCCAATCTCCCATTTAATATATTAAGTCCATCCTTGACATCATTGACATGTAAATTCATTCTCTGCTTGAATGCTTTCAGTGACTGGACTCTCACTCCAGGCAGCCTGTTCCATCATTAAATAAACTTGCTTGTTAGGAAAATTTCCCTTGTGTTGAATACAAATCTCTTTTTTTGTTCTTACCTATTGATCATAACTCTTTGCCCTGAAGCTAGACAAGGAACCATTAGGCCAGCTGAATACTATAATTCTATTCAGAAATAAATGGATTTGTCACTAGGAAGTGAGTCTTTAATACTTTACAATATATCCAACAGTTTCTAATTTAAGATCTTAGCTCTTAATTCCAGAACTACTGTGACACCTTGAGTAACTGCATTCTACCACCTCCAGCCTCCTCCTAGAAGAATTAATACTGAGCAAAACCATCAGATTAGATTTGATCTTGATAATCCCCAGCTGAGCAGTATTCAGGGATTCCTGCCATATAGCTGTGCTTTGTTTAGGTTTTGTTTCTATGTTGTGTGTATCATGAAGAGTCAGAGCATACCTCAAAGAGTTGGCAGTGGTTTCAAGCTGTGCTTCAAGAAGCAGAGGGTTGTAGTAAGCTAAGGACTGTGTGTGGGCCAGTGGGAAACCCAGCAGGAGCTCCCAAGATGCCACACATATTTCCACTTGGATAGACTCCCCTGTTTTCATGAATAATATGTAAGAGTTTGAAAACTACTGATTTTTCAGGATAAAACCCAAACTAATATTCCCGGCTGCCTAACCCACTTGCCCTCTCATGGGCACATGTGTGCATTTGGGCACTCATAGTTCTCCCCTACAATATGGACTTCCAGGTCCTGCCACCCCATCTGCCAACCTGTTAAGATCTAACTTCCATCATGTCTTTAGGGAAGTCCCTGTACTCCCAGTTCAGTCATGCTGTGTCCTTCCTCTAACCTCACATTCGTCATTGTTGTTGAATGAATTACAAGTATTTTTTTAAAGATTTATTTATTTATGCATACAAGAGCTGGGGTGCATGCCAGAGATGGGGGTGGTTGAGAGGATTCATCAGAGACTGAGTGGGTAGCAGAACAGGCAGATTGACTGAAATACACTGCTGGGGGTAGCAGCGGTTGAGACAGGAGAGGTCTGTACCATGTGGGTCACCTCCCTGGCTGGGGCTTGAACTTGTGCCAGAGTGGCTGCAGATAGCTTCATAGTGCTGTGTCTTAACCCCTTGCGCCAGCAGAGAAGGTCCCAAGTAGAGTGATTTTAAAGAAAATAAAGAATTCCTTCTTTTAGTCTCCCTTTTTGCACCCTCCCCCCATCATGTAACTTTCTTGTTGATCCCTTAGATGTTTTTGATGATAACAGTTCCATTCCAGAAATAAGAACTCACCTGTTCACACTTTGTATTAAATATGAAGAAACTCAGTCCCGCAAGTACTTACCTGAAGTCACAGAACTGGTTCATGTCAGGAAACATCTTCTAAGTCCTGGCATCATGCTCTTTTCCACCATGTGTTATCTTCTTTGAACAATGGCTACGTATCATTAGCTAACTGTCAATCATTATCTGCCCAAATAATTTATGTATTTTTTCAGCACATTGGCATTTTCTTGCCCAAATCTTTGAAAGATGATTATCTCAACCAAGATGGTAAATTAAATGGACTTGAACTTTGAAGCTAAATCCACTTTTGCAAAGATGAATGAAACCAGCATTTGGGGATAACAGGTTAATGGCACAAATGCCAAATAGGGTGTTTCCAAATTAAGGAACATGCTAGCTCCCCAGAGCTGTGTTGGGCTCACAAAATGATTAGTGCCTCACTGCCACAGACCTGCAGTCTGCTCTGTGTTAAATTCAGCAGTGGACCTTCCTCTGAATACTAGCAACCCCTGACTGAGGAGGCCATTGTCCTTGAAACTTTTTGCCATCCTGCTTCCACCCTCCTACTCTGATCCTCCCACTTCTGTGTCATTGATAGTCCTACCCTGCTCCACAGTTCACAGGCCTGACACTCAACAGATTCAGTGAGAGAAGAGCAGAAAGCCTAAGGACTTCAAAGACAGTCAAGGGAATGCGGTAAAGCTTGTAGTCAAAGCAGGTAAGGGAGTTATGCTTGCTGGAAAGTTAGAGGAATACAGTGAGGATCAGTTTATATATGGCATTAGGAAAAACTGCCAGTGTTGTAGCTGACAACATAGAGAAGTATAAAAAGAAAATTCACTAGGGGCCTCGCTGGTGGCGTAAGGGGTTAAGAACCGCACTGTGAAGCAATACGCATCCTCTGCAGCACGAGTTTGATCCCCGGCCAGGAAGGGAGCAACCTACATGGTGCAGCAGACCTCTCCTGACTCGCCCGCTGCTCCCCTCAGCAGTGTATTTCAGTCTGCCTGTCTGTTCTGTTCCCTACTCTGTCTCTGGTGAATCCTCTCACCCCCCCGCATTTCTGGCCTGTGCCCCAGCTCTTGTATGCATAAATAAATAAAAGAAAATAAAAAGAAAATTCACCATACTAATAGTCATTTACATACCAGTTTACTGTTTTATACCTGATCATCATGTGGCACAGTAGCCAGTATACATACATACGTACATAGCCAGTTTATATATACATACATATATTTATACATATATATTTATACATATATCTCTGATTAACTTGTCCGAACTGTACTTGACCCTGAATTCTGTTCTGTTGGCATCTGATGGATGCCAAGCATTTGTTGGACCTTAGACCTTAGTTCTCAACTCATATAGCAAGGTAAATTGCTCACCTTTTGAAAATTAATACTGGTATTGCATATAAACCTGAGATTATGTATAATGACCTCAGAAAATATCAAGTATATTGGTTCTGTTTTGGATTTCTATATCAGCTCATTCTATTGGATTTTACCTCTTTATTCTTAAAGCCGTTTGTTTTAAAAATTCATTTAATCATGTCTCCAGTTAGCTAATCCAACTTTAACTTGACTATGGCAGTCTATTAGCACTCAATAAGTCACCCTTATTTTCAGCCATTCTTTACTAAACAGGTTAGTCTTCCTTGCCACTAGGCAGTGAACTCTGTGCCTGCAGAGCTTGCACTTTGTGTACTTGTGTTCTCATAATAGTTTGGCATAGGAAAGGGGCAAGAAAGACCATGTTAAAAGGGGTGATGATGAGAGAAGTTGTTGGAGCAATTAGTGAACATTTTTATGGATTGCTGTAGTTTATAACACTATCTGGAAGGCCTGCTTGAGCTGCTGTCTGCCCCCAGTGATTCTTAAGTGTTGCTGTAAATACTTGGATCCATTTCTTCAGTGCAAGGAAGACTCCGTGTTTATGAAATCAACACTTAGCACATCTTAACCCATCATTTATGTGGCCTTTAAACGTAGCCTCTCTGTATCTGAATTTCTTTGTCTGCAGAAAGGGATAAAATACCTACCCACTTCTGCATGGAAATCATGTAAGGGCCAAATGAAATCACAGTTGTGAGACATTTTAAAGAATTTTACATGAGTAATCATTTCCACCTCTGTCATTAGACAACCTTGCTTTTGGTTGTTTATATTACTGGGGCAGTCTTAGATCAAATTATAACTATCATACACTAACTCTTGCCTCTTCCTCTAAACCTGTTTCCTGCCTCGTTTTCTGCATCTCCCTGAAATTTGTCATCCATTTGTTTCCTTTGTAAAAAGTCTTAATGCTGACTTGTTCTCACCACAGTTTTTAAACTCTTTTGCCTTCAGATTAATATTATTCACATTTTTAGATTCTTATTCATTTCACTCCTTTATCTTAATTATTTATTTTTAAGATGTCAGCCAGCCATATATATTTTTTAATAATTGAAATGTAATATCTGTAGCCCTTGATATCCACTACCGTTCCCATTTTTTTTATTTCGCATGTCCTCCAAGGGCCTGAATGCCATCATACTCCTTAACACTCAGTACTCAGGATACCCAGCTGGGAAAAATAGGTCAGCCCTTCCCAATCTACTTCAAAACAGCCATTCTGTACCTTATCTCTTAAGATTTTTGCCTTTGGGTCATAATTTGTAAGTGTTAATCTCTCAATGATTCTCTACTTAACAAGCATGGTAAAATGAGTCTTCTAGAGAAAAGACCAATAATTCAAGGGAATGCAAATTTAACAGTGAAAGTAGCCCCATGGGAGGTGGTAATAAGTACATTGCCCCTGGAAGTGTTTCTGCTGAGGCTGGTTGAGCTAGACAATTCAGGATCCCTTCTAGTTCTGAAACACTCATGAGTGACTCTGACGGTGGGAGTTTTAAGCACTTTGCCAAGCCAGTTCTGAGCTCTTCCAGTACATTCCCTCTCATTGGCTCTGCATGCCTAGCTCCATAATACAGACTATTCTTTCAGCTTTCTCAACAGTTGCCAATAGCCTGTCACATCTAAGAGCATTTCCTTGGCAAACCACCATTCTGCATGAAAAGAAGGATTGGAATTGGGGAAAGTGAATTTGATAGTGTACCAACCAAAGTATGTTAATTGTGAGCTTTGTACATTGGCAGTCATAACTTACACAATAAACAACATCCATTTGGTTGCTAAGCAACACCTTTTCCTCATTCTTGACCTCAGTGCAAGTATTTGACCTCTAAACTTAAAAAATCTTAAATTCCACCCTGCTTGTAGAACATGCTTTAGGGAGCTGCCTCTTATTTCAGCCATATACTTACCTCCTTTGGTTTGAATGTTACCTTCCAGATACTCCTCTCTAAGCATGGGCCAACCCAGTAGCCTTGTGGTTTGTCAGAGTAACTAATCTCAGACGAGGGCTTCCATCATCAGGCTTCTGCAGGTATCCCCCATGCACTTAGGCTTCATATCAGGAACACCTTCACCTGAACCTAATGCGGACTGACTTCTAGTCAGCTTGCAAAGGAAAAGCTTCCCTTATCTAATATGAATTTGATAAAGATACAGTTATCTTTATCTCATGACAAAATGTGACTCTTAGAAGAGTTCCAGATTTAGTATTATGTTTTACATCTATATACAAAATTGGGAACATTTGGAGACTTTCTTTGCTAATATTTAGTTATTATTAGTTAGAGAGAAGGATCTTCCCTCTAGGAAAAAGGCAGGTAAATTTAGTAAACAAATACTCTTTGTTATGAGAGTGTAAGAATATTTTTTTCATTGAAATGAGGAGCTTTTTAGTGATGGGATGAAAAATCAATAGCTTTTAGGATATTTTAATTATTTTATATTCATCCCCAGTTTCTTCCTTAAGGATTTTATAATATATAGTCATGATTTTTCTGACAACCCTATAAATAAATGGTAGCATTTTGATTTTTACCTAAGTTGTAACCATTTAAATAGATTTAATAGCTGTTTTCTTGAACAGATTAGGCTTTTCTCTTTCTTCTTGAACCTGCGACGTAATGAAATAATAGGCAAAGGAGAGAGAGAGAGCGATAGATGGTAGAATTATAAGCGACAAGTGATGGAGTAATAATGGTGACAGAATGAAACAAGGGCATATACAACCAGGACGTTCAGTCATTTCTTTTCCTTTCTAAAAGACAGACCAAAAAAAACAAAATAAAATAAAAAATAAAAGATAGACCATTAGTGAATAATAGTGTTAGGAAAAGAGATTGGCTGCTTTAGCTATCAGGATAGAGAAAAGAAACATCATTATAAATGAACTTGGAGAAAAGTAAATGGATTTTCATTTTCTTCATTAAACATGTAATCTGCTTATTTTGTCCCCCGTGTCTCTTAATCTGCCCTAACTGATATATTCTCTTGTGTTCTAGTTTTGTTATGATGTGACGGGTAAAATCCACAAAGGTCCTTTCTTGGCATGTCATGTCTTTCCTAGACCTTGGCTTACATTGTATTTGTATTTCATTTGCAGGTCTGTGGCTGTCCTCTCTATTGGAAAGCCCCCATGTTTAGGGCTGCAGGGGGAGAGAGCACAGGATTTGTGTCAGCACAGTCTTTCATTGCCATGTGGAGAAAGTGAGTATCTAAACAGACTCTCAGGAGGTCAAACAATTATATGGTCTGTATGACATGCTTTATAAAAGTCACACTTTTGTTGGGGGCAAAGGATGTACTGAACGAACTCCAGAAACAGGTTTTATAGACCCCATCCCCACCTGAGACCAAAGAGACCCAAGACACCAAGGACTACAAATCCAATAATGTTAGCACCACTGAAGGGAGGATTGCTGGGAACTAAGTGTGGAGTTAAGCAGCCAGGTTCGGTACATAACCAGACATGTGTGTCTTGGGGCCCTTGGTTTTTTGCTGATTTTCAGCATGCTAATGGGGTCCCAGCTTAGCAGAACTGGTAGGACACACTTAATCAATTTATCTCTCTCTTTTTCTTCCTGAGTCATTCATTTCTTCATTTCCCCTTTTTTGCATAAACCCTTTATTAACCTTTTTGGTGTGCCTGCAGTTGGGTCTCATTATAAGTCCCTTTTAAGCACGTGGGTGAGGCCCCACAATCAGGCAACCCATTTCACATTGGGGTTGCATTGTAACACCTTGAGTCGTTTATTAATTTCCCCTTTATCCTAGTGTTTCAGTAAGTAAAATTCAGTGATTACAAACCATTTTTACCCACACACAAATTGCAACCTCTGCAGCACAAGTTTGATCCCCAGAGTTCGAACTCCAGCTGGCCAGGGAGCAACCCACATGGCACAGCAGACCTCTCTCTCCTGTGTCGCCCGCTGCTCCCCTCAGCAGTGTATTTCAGTAGATCTGCCTCTTCTAGTCTCCACTCTGTCTCTGATGAATCCTCTCACCCCCACACCTCTGGCCTGTACCCCAGCTCTTGTATGCATAAATAAATCTTAAAAAAATAATACCACTTTCTTAGTTTTACTTGGTAAATTTAGGTCTGAGGGTTTGACTCCAGTAGTAGTGACATAAAGGTAAAAATTCTCTAAGGACCGCAAACCTCATGGGTCACGTGAAAAACATAGCTTCTGTTCTAAATGATCACATTTAGAATTATAGCTAGTTGATTTATTAAAAATAATGGAACTTTAATAGATGTTAATCATTATTTTTTGAAAGCTCCAGTTGAGGAAAGGAGGAATGATATCTTTATGAAGAGACTTCTGTATTTTAAAATTCTGACGAGTGTTCTTGAACTCAAACCCAGCTTTCTTCTTCCTTTTCTTTTTTTCTCCCTTTTTTCTTCTTTAGGAGTTATTTCTTAATATATTTGCTTCTTCTACCACTTTTAACTGATTAGTCTTCTTTACGTATGTTCTTCTCATCTTTTCTTGGGTAGATACCCTTCCTGGTAAACTATTGGGAAAATATCATTTACCTATCTTCATTATTTAAAATCAACATCTAGTAGCAGCAAAATACAGCTTACAAATTCCTTCTAATCCCTTCATGCTACCTTAAATCCCTTTAATAGTACGATGTTTAAGAACATAATAGATGACCAGTAAGTGTATTCTTTTTTGACAAATCTGGCAGTGAATTGCATAAGGTCTATATGCATTTCATTAAAACTAAAATGATCAGAATTTATGTGAACCTCCCAATTAATGGACTTCTTTTAAAGAACCTCAACAAAGCTCAAAGTTACCAAGGCTTCATGTCTTCCAGGTGGATTTTAGTCATTCTGTTATAGCGACAGTTGTAGTTGTCTAAAACCGAGAACTAAAAGGGCCCTGGGAGGATTATTCCTCAACACCATTAGGATGGCACTCCAAAGTCAGTCTGTGGTCAGCATTCCATAGCAAACACAAATCATAAGCATAAAAATCAAAGAAATATCTTTTTTTTTTTTTAATGTGTGGGTAAACAGTCAAAGTACGGGATTTCCTTGAAGACTAGAAATAGAAGAGGAAAAAAAGCACTAAATAACAGGCGTAAACCAGCAAAGGAATTAGCATTTGCCTTTGGAGTGTTTATCATTGGTATTTCTGGCAACCTAGAACCCAAGGGAAGGAAATAAACCACTGGGCTTGAACCGTAGGGAGGTCAGCTTGTATTCCCTCTCTCTTCCAACCAGGAAAGTCAGGGTTCCAGGGTCCTATTGTCTATTATTAATTATTGTTATTATTATTATTATTATTACTACTACTTTAAATCAGCCTATAATAGTAGTGGAATTCAATTTGGAATGTGCAGATGGTCTAGCTTTTATTCACCTAGATTCTTTCAGGTGCCAGGCCCTGAGAAGATCTCAGTTGGAGTATAAACCGGGGGTAAAAAGAATAGGGGTATTGCACAGCTCTTGTCAGGTATCTTTAGCCATTCAGTTGAGCATTATTGGCAAAAACCTCTTAATAATATGGAAAAGCTGCAAGAAGTGAATTAGGATTGGTTAACAGAGAATTTTAAATAAGTTGGGAGATTGAAAAAAGGAAATAGTCTATTCTGTAAGAGAGTAAAGCCTGAGGGAAGAGGTATTAGCTGCTTATTTCCTATTATTTTGAATATTCTAGGAACTAGCATTTGTGAGCCTGAGGCTGATTATACCAAAAGAAAGTTAGTATCCAACTTGATTTACCTACAATTAATTGCATAATATTGAGAAGAGTAACAGCCAGTTATTTTAAGACCGTGTGTCATTGGGAAAGGGTAGACATTTATGTTTGTGGATATCAGCAGCCACAACAGCTTTATTTCTTTATTAAGATTAACCAAGTTAATTTTATCTCTAAGGGAAATAGACCTCTGCAAAAAGCAAAAAGGGGGAAAAAGATCCGAAACACAAGTCTTGATTTTAAGAAATGGCTTATGAAGTTATATAGCATGAGCAACTTCTTTGTCTTTTTTCATTTAAAAAAAAAAAAAATCTATGATGAAAATAAGCCTGCAATAATCATCTGGTGTTAGGGCCAGGTACTAAAATGGTTGGAGCACCCTCTAGTGGGAACTCCTCTCTGAGCTCTTAAAACATCTTTTAAAAATCACAGTGCTTTTATGTATGGCTATTTTGGGAGACTGAGCGGCTAAGTGTGATGGTTTGAGTTTCCACACTGACCTTAATGAAAACAGGTGTTTACTTTCATAATTTTTTTACAAATTGTATAAAGTGACTTGAGCCCAAGTATAATTTAAAACTTTTAAAGTACAAAAAATAACGGACAGATGACACAGAATTAAAACATATATATGTGCATGCTGACTTGCTCCTCTTAATAATGTTTTATATAATATTGACAAATAAAGTCAAATACAAAATTCAAAGCCTACAGGAAATAATTTCTCTCCTGTCTAATTATTCATGGATGGAGGCATCATAGATCTCCAAGTGGCTTGAGGATAAACCACCATTAAGGGCTCTTGTTTCCTGCCTGTGCTCGTCCTCCATTCCTTACTTACTCCATTCCTTACTCCATTCCTTACTTGTGCTCGTCCTCCATTCCTTACTGCTTATTTCATATCTGTACTTTGACATCTATTTTTCTTACAATCAGGATATTTTTAGGGGAAAAACATTGTTCTGCAGCTTTTTTTGTCTAAGTTCCTGGAGTGCCAGCTTTGTAGCAGAGCTCCTCATTCAGTCATACTGCTCCAGCTTTATCAAAATTTACTTCCTCTTATATTTTCATGTCAACGTGTCACTTGTCCATTAACAAAGCAATATTTTATTAAGAGCTCTGGAAGATACCACCTTAGAATAGCTATGTTTACTCCTCTTCTCCAGCTTTCATGGCTTTTATTATCACCTTTTCTCCTGCCATGTAGAGCTCACTGGCCACTAGCAATGACTGAAAATTCACTATTTCTTTCTATTTCATGCTTCTGATAGCAAAAAGCTATAGCCAGTTTAATGTTTTCCTCTCAGAATATCTCAGCATCACATCACATCTTTGTGGTTTTGCTTTAGTAGTGCTATCCTTTCTCTTTTCATATAGGGGAGGGAATAGCTCCTTTCATATAGGGGAGGGAATAGCTTTGTGGTAGATGGTGATTGGATATTTAATTGGTGGGTTATTTTGTGAAATATACAGTTGCTGAACTTGAAACCTATACAGTATTGTAAACTAATACTCCCTCAATAAAAACGAAAAGAAAGTGCTCCTTTCCAGGGACCACGACCCTTTTGTTGGGATCATCCTACCCATTCTCTAATTCTCAGAGGTTGTTCCCATCACCACCTATTGCACTGATCATTTTCTGAAATACACATTTATTTAACATTAAGCATTTTGAAGAATGATAAGGAGAATAAATATAAAAATCATACAATAGCTTTAATAATCACAAATGAAGTCAGTTAAGTACACATCCATTTTTCAGAGCACAAACATTTTTTGAAAATCAATGTGAAAATCACTATGCTGGATGCAAAGGAAAAAGAGCTATAACTTTGCCTACCCTTTAAGTGCCCGAGAGATAAAAGAAAGTAAACAGTACAATAGTATATATATATATATGAAGTAGTACCAAGATCAGTAAGGAATTTAGTTGTCAGAGAATGCTTTCTGGAAAAGGTAGTTATTAGCTGGATCATAAACAATAGCCAGCACTTAGAAAGCAAAATTAGGAGGGATGATACTCTAGGGGAGTAGAACAATTTGAGAAATGGCACAGAGGCAAGAATGCACATGACATTTAGAAAATAGTGGGTCATTGTTGTCCAGAGTAAATGTTTTGCTTAGCAAAATAGTGAGGTAGGTAGGTAGGCAAACTCAAGCCTAATTACAGATGGCTTAAATGTCCGACTTAGGCATTCAGACTTACTCTGATAGAAATGATAGAAAGTTACTGAACATGTTTGAATGAGGGAAAATATCAGTGAATGTTTTCAAATGATGTACTGTCTGTGATAAATATAAGGTTGGATGAGCAAAGCCTGTTGTTATGCTATTATTTCAGCCTCAGCATGAAATAAAATGACCCTGGACTAGATCATACAGTGGAAATACAAAAGTTGAATGGTGTGAAACATTTTGAGGACTCCTCAGGACTCCTGTATTCCAAGCACCTAGTGGTCAAACTAGAAACCTGGGAGTCTTCGTGAACTTCCCCTTTCTTTTCACTCCTTACACTTATCAACTACCACATCCTTTCAACCAAAATGACCCCTTTCTCTCCCTCTCCCATTGTCAGTCTCCACATTTAGGACCCTGGTTTCATATTTACTTGGTATTTCTGAGGAAAACACACACACACATATGATCATGTCACTATCCAAGTAAAAATTCTTCTGTGGAGAAGGCTAAAGTCCAGGTTCTTGACTTCCTTTAAAGGGCCTCTAGGATCTGCTCCTGCATGCCCATGTCCCCTTCTCTTACCACCCCAGCACTAGTAGTTGACGAGGTATTCCATGCACTCTTACACCAGTTATTTGTACATATAACCCCTTTGACCCACAGCACCCTTCATTCTACTTCACCTTTTCAAAAAATCTCACAGGCCCCCATGTGTCCTTCCATGACACCCTGTGTTTATTGCTTCTGTCATACTTGTCACACAGTAGTATAATCTTATCTGTGTGGTGCTTTCACTAGACTATAAGCTCACAAGGAATAAAGTCCCTTATTTTTGTTTTTATCCCAGGTATCATCAAGGCATAGTACCTGGTACACAGTTAACATTTAATAAATGATTAGGAAAGGAAAACAAGAAAATCTAGAGACTAATTGAATATGGAAAAAATAATGAAGAGAAATGAACTTAAAATGACTTCAAAATTTCAAGTGCAGTTTACTCAGGATGATACCACCATTAACAAAAATAGCTGTCCATAAAAAGTACTGACTTTCAGGACCTCCCCAGTGGTGCAGTGGTTGAGTGCTGCACTGCAAAGCAGTCCACAGCCTCTGCAGCACCGGTTCAATTCCCCACTGGCCAGAGAGAACCCCACATGGCGCAGCAGACCTCTCCTGCCTCACCCACTGTGCCCCTCAGCAGTGTATTTTACTCAGTTTGCCTGTTCTGCTCCCCGCTCTGGCTCTGGCGAATTCTCACCCTCCTGCACCTCTGACCTGTACCCCAGTTCTTGTATAAAATAAATAAATAAATCTTTAAAAAAAAAAAAATTCTGACTTTCAGAGAAAAATTTTAACTTTAGTTTTTAATATTTTGACTTTGCTATCAGAGTATAATGTCCAAGTAGAAATGTCCAGTAAACGCTGGACATAAGGAATTCTTGGAGCTCAAAGACTTAATATGCTTTTTTTTTTTTTAATCTGTTCTTTCAAAGTCTATTTCAAAAGCCTCCTATCACAGTAACCTATCTGATGTGTCAGTAGGTAGGTAGCTCTGGAGATCTGGTTCCAGATGTCCTGTGCTAAACATGAATGGACATCCTCCCTTAACTATATTTTTACCACATTCATTCAGTTGAATTTGTGGTCTGTCTCAAAAGCACAAATAATACCATCTTATTGGTTAAGTTTTTGTTAAGATTTTTTTGACAAAATCAAGAACATGAGAAAATTATTTTTAACCACTGAAAAGAGAGCTCCTAATTTTTTATATCTAAATGCCCTTCAAGTTAAAATTATCAACTATTGGGCCTGCCCGGTGGCACAGCGGTTGAGCGCTGGGCTGCGAAGCTGCCCGCAGCCTCTGCAGCGCTGGTTCTATCCCCGGCCACCGGGCGAGGGTCCCACATGGCACGCAGACCTCTCCTGCCGCCCGCTGCTCCCCTCAGCAATGTATTTCGTCAGTCTGCCTGTTCTGTTCTCTGCAATGTTCTGATGAATTCTCTCGCCCTCCCACACTTCTGACTGTTCCCAGTGCTTGTATAAATAAATAAATAAATCTTTAAAAAAAAAATATCAACTACTGATATTGTAGTCATTGTAGTCATTGTTCACAGTAGCCAATCTTCCTAAACAGTTATTTCTTTTATAGGTTGCTGAATAGCCATCATGATGATGCCTCTAAATTTATCTGTCTTCTAGCAAAGCCCAGCTGCAGCTTTCTAGAACAAGAGGATTTTATCCCTTTACTTCAGGTAATTTTCATTTCTTTTAAAAATAGGTTTCACTTTTAGAGTTACAGGTTTTAATTATTTTTTCAAATATAAGATATGTCAATTGAGCTACAGAAGTCTAGAGATCATATTTCTACAAGAGAGAGTTTTAAGCTTATTTAAGCAGCAAATATTTTTGTTAAATAAAAATCTAACACAGAACTGGTAGGATAAAACAGGGCAATTCCCATTAAAGCTGAGAAGGACCACTCCAGCTCTCCCTCACCCACCACATAATCACTGAAGCACCTTCTAAAACCAGGCTTAGTAATCTGTTGTTAAGATGAAAGAAAAAGAACCCACTGGGACTATTTATATTTAGGCCTTCCAACAAGAACGAGTTACATACCAGTATTGTATCTATTTTTACCATACAATCTTGATAGCACAATATATTTGCTTATTAAAATTTTTAATTTCATGTATATTCAGTTTTCTTAAGCAGATAACAAATTCATTTGAAAGTCAAATATGCCTTTGATTTCTGGTGTACACCATACACCATTGTATACCATATCCTAAGGACACAGAATTTCTGTGTTTGGGACTCTCCTAGACCTTTCCCTAAGCATTTATATTTTAGCTGGTCCTGATTTGTGTTCTTTATTATAGAATATCAACCACAAGATAGCACTTTCTTCAGTTCTGTGGGAAGTTTAAGCAAACTGCTAAACCTGGGGCATAATGGGATTCCTCACATATATAATCAATCAGTCAGAAGTGTAGATGGCCTGGAAACCATAGAGTTCAGCTGATTGCTGAAGTGAGAGGAGGCTTGTGGAGGACTGTGCCCTTAACCTGTGAAATCTGCATTAACTCTGGTTAATGCTAGAGTTTCATTTCAGGGGCATAGAAAAATGAGTTGAACATGTGCCTAAATTTTTCTGTGTCTAATAAAAACTATATACCCCACTAACCCAAGGTCTCAATAAGCCTAAAGTACAAGAAGCACAAAGAAAACTATACACATCACAATAAAATGACTGAAAACCAATAATAAAAAGCAAGTTTAAAATGCTGCCAGAGAAAATAGTTACATTTCAGAGTGAAACAAAGATAAACAAGATAGCAGACTTCATGTTGGAAACAGTCCAACCCAGAAGACAATGGAGCAACATCATTAAAGTGTTGGAAGAAAAGAGCTATCAACCCAGCATACTATATCCAGTAAAAACATCTTTTAAAAAAATGAAGATTTTTTTTTTTAATGGAAATAGTATTTTTGCTTTTATGGAAAGAAGTAGTCACCAACAGAAATCCACTACCAGAAATTTTTTTTAAGTTGCTTAAGCAAGGAAGAAAATAATACCAAATTGAAATACAAATCTATACAAAGGAATAAAGAGCTCCAGAAATGGTAACTACATGGATAAATATGTATAATTTATTATTCTGATCTCCTTAAAAAAAAATTACTTTCTAAACAAAGCTATCAACAGTGTATTGTGGTGTTTAGTACATGTGTTTAAGTATAATTTGAAAACAGTAACATAAAGGATAGAAAGAGAAAAATGGAAATGGGAAGTGTCCTGTTGTATGGTTTACATATAATCCATGAAGTGAAAAGTAGATAGTAGTAAGTTTAAAATGCATGAGGTAACCTATGATCTGACTGCTAAAAGAACAGAGTTTTAGCCAATAAGCAAAAAAAAAAAAAAAAGAAAGTAGGAAGATCATAAAGAATATTCAGTTAACCTAAAAGAAGACAGAAAAGAAAGGGAAAAAAGGAACAAAGAATAGATAGGACAAATAGCAAGATGATAGGCTTAAACCTAACCATATCAATATTCACATTAAATATAAGTGATATAAATATCCTCAGAACATAAAAATTAGACCAAAGAAAGCAAAACCCAAATATATACTGCCAGAAAGAAATGTATTGTAATTATAGACACAACTAGGTTAAAAGTATAAAAGAAGAAAAAAAATTATGTCACGTTAACATTAATTGAAAGAAAGCTTACAAATAAATAGAAAGATATTCCATGTTTATGAGTTGAGAGACTTACAATTATAAAATACCCATACTACCAAGAACAATCTATAGATTCATTGTGAGCTCTATCAAAATCCCAGTGGCCCCTTCCCACAGCCCCTGGCAACCACCATTCTGTTCTTAGCTTCTATGAGTTTGACTATTTTAATACCTCAAATAAGTGGAATCATGGTGATATTGTTTGATGCGCTTAGTTTCAGTTATTCAAGATAGATAAGTTCTAAAGTTCTACTGTACAACATAATGCCTATAGTTAACAGTACATTTGGAAATGTGTTCAGGGTAGATCTCACGTTAAGAATTCTTACCAAAAACAGACAAAAGTACAAGGAAACTGTTAGCAGTGTTGGATATGTCTATCATCTTTATTGTGGTGAGGTTTTCCATATGTCCAAACTCATCAAAATGAATATATTAAAGATGTGCCTTTTTTTCCTTTGTTATCCAGTAAATACTTTAGTAAAGCTGTTTAAAAAATAGTATTTTTTACAGAGATAGAAAAAAAATCCTAAGATTTAAAGGACTTGGAATAGCCAAAACCATTCCTAAGAAAGAATAAAGCCAGAAGGCTCACACTTCCTGACTTCAAAATGCATATTACAAAGCTTATAGCAATCAAAACACTATGGTACTAGCATACTAACAAACATAAAGACCAACTGAATGGATTTTAAAGCCCAGAAATAAATTTTTGTCTGTATGGGCAAATGATCCTCAATGGCTGCCAAGATTACACAGTGGTAAAGGATTATCCAACAAGCAGTTTGGGGTAAACTGGATATACATATGCAAAAGAATGAAATGAGCCTCTTTTTTTAACCATATATAAAAATTAACTCAAAATAGATTAAAAATTTAAGCATAAGACCTGAAATAATAAAATTCCTAGAAGAAAATAGGGAAAACTTCGTGACATTGTGTTTGGCAATGATTTCATACATGTGGCATCAAAATCACAGGCACTAAAAACAAATACAGACAAATAGAACTACATCAAACTTTTAAATTTTTTGTGCCTCAAAGGAGACAGTGAACATAGTAAATAAGAAGCCTACAGAATGGAAAAGTATTTGTAGACATATCTGATATAGGGTTATAAAAATATATAAAAATCTTTTATGACTCAATAATAACAGAAAATAAAAATAAATTTGATTTTAAATGTGTAAAGAACTTGAATAGACATTTCTTCAAAGAAGCTAAAATACTGAATAAACATGAGAAGATGTTTGACATCACTAATGAAGCAGGAAAATGCAAATTAAAGCTACAATTAAATGTCACTATTAAAGTAGGTACTATTTTAAAATAAAAAAAAACAGAAAACAAGTGTTGATGAGGATAGAAAAAATTAGAACACATGTGCTTTTTTGGTGAAAATATAAAATGGTACTGCCACTATGGAAAACAATATGATAGCCCCTTTGAAAATTATAGGGGCACCTTGTGTTCTAGTAATCACACTTCGGGAGACATATATATATATATATATATATATATATATATATATATATGTATGAAAACAGAACTGAAAACAGAATCTCAAATTATTTGCAATCCCATGTTTATTGCCACATTTTCATAATGACAAATAGGTGGAAGCAACCTAAATGTCCATGAATGAATGGATGAATTTAAAAAATGTGTGTGTATCTAATAAGGATATATAAATATGTGTATGTGTGTACATAAACTCATAGAGATGCAGTGTTATACTATTCAGTTGGGGCTTTTTGTTTCCTTGTTTGTTTGCTTTTTAAGTAAAACTCTGGATTCACATATCTGGAGGGTCAAACTGCCAGCTTCTTCTTTCAGCAATGGTGTGAGAACAGAGTGTGAACTGCACCAGTTCTTAAAGAACTGGAAAAAGAACCCCCCCCCAAAAAAAAAGCCAATAGAAGAAAGGAAATAATAAAAATTAAAGCAGAAATAAATGAATAGTAGTTAAGAAAATAATCTAAAATGTCAATGAGCCAAAAATTGTTTCTTCGAAAAAATAAAATAGACAAACATCTAGCCAGGCTCACAAAGAAAAAAACAGGAGAAAACAAAAATAAGGAGAAAGTACAACAGGCACAGCAGAAATCAAAAGAATAATCAGAGATTACTATGAACAGTTATATGCAAACAAGTTCAACAATCTAGAAGATATGGACAAATTCCTACAACTTTATCATCATCCAAAGCTAGATAAAGAACAAATAGAACATCTAAACCTAAACAGACCAATTACAAGCAGTGAAATTGAAACAGTAATCAAAACCCTCCCCAAAAACAAAAGTCCAGGACCAGATGGCTTTACAAATGAATTCTACCAAACATTCGGAAACGAACTTGCCTATCCTACACAAACTCTTTCAAAAAATTGAAAAGAAAAGGATACTACCAAGCACGTTTTATGAAGCCAACATTGCACTAATACCAAAACCAAACAAAGAAAACAAAAAAAAAAGAAAACGACAGGCCAGTCTCTCTAATGAACACTGATGCAAAAATCCTCAATAAAATCCTAACCCACAGAATCCAACAATGCATCTAAAAGATAATTCACCATAATCAAGTAGGATTTATTCCAGGGATGCAAGCATGGTTCAACATCAGAAAATCAATTAATGTAATCCAGCACATCAACAATAAGAAAAATAAAAACCATATTTTCATATCAATAGATGCTGAGAAAGCATTCAACAAAGTTCAACATCCATTCATGATAAAGGCCATTGAAATTTTTGAAATAGAAGGAACACATACCTTAACATATTAAAGGCCATATATGACAAGCCCATAGCCAATATCATTCTCAATGGTGAAAAGCTGAAAGCCTTTCCCTTAAGATCTGGAATAAGACAAAAATGTCCACTCTCACCACTGCTCGTCAATATAATACCAGAAGTCCTAGCTGGAGCAATAAGACAAGAAAATGAAAAACAGGGAATCCAAATAGGAAAAGAAAAAGTAAAACTACCGCTGTTTGCAGACAATATGATAATATACAAGTAAAACTATCGCTATTTGCAGACAGTATGGTAATATACATAGAGAAACCCAAAAACTCCACAGAAAAACTAATCAAAATAATCAACCAGTTTAGTAAAGATCAACACACAAAAATCAGTAGCCTTCCTATACGCAAACAATCAATCTGAAGAAGAAGAAATCCAAAAAAACCATTCCTTTTATAATAGAAACAAAAAAAAAATCAAATACTTGGGAATAAACCTAAGAAAAGAGGTGAAGGGCCAATACAAAAACTATAAAACATGTTAAAAGAAATAAAAGAAGACACAGAGAAATGGAAAGACATCCTCTGCTCATGGATTGGAAGAATCAACATTATCAAAATGACCATCCTACCAAGGGCAACCTACAGATTCAATGCTATTCTAATAAAAATTTCAATGACATTCTTCAAAGAAATAGAACAAATATTGATGAAACTCATATGGAGCTACAAAAAAACCTGAATAACCAAAGGTCTCCTGACTAAAGGAAAGGAATGGAGGTATCACACTCCAGACTTCAAACTATACTACAAAGCCATAATAATCAAAACTGCATGGTACTGGAACAAGAACAGACACACAGACCAATGGAATTGAATAGAAAACCCAGAAATAAACCCACAGATTTATGGACAAATAATCTTTGACGAAGGAGCAAAGAATATGCAATGGAACAAGGACAGTTTGTTCAATAAATGGTGCTGGGAAAACTGGACTGCTACATGCCAAAGAATGAAGCTAGACTGTTACCTGATACCATGCACAAAAACCAGCTCAGAATGGATCAAAGAATTAGACATAAGATCTGAAACTATAAAATTTATAGAAGAAATATAGGCAAAACACTACATGACATATGTCTCAGTTACATCTTTAAAGACTCATCACTTAAAGCAAAAAAAGTGAAGGAAAAGATAAACAACTAGGATTACATCAAACTTAAAGCTTCTCTACAACAAAAGAGACACTAACCAAAACAAAGAGACACCACACTGATTGGAAGAAAATTTTTGCACACAATACAACTAATAAGGGATTGATCACAAAGATCTACAATGAGCTCACATGACTCCACAAAAACAAAGTAAATTAATCCAGTCAAAAAATGAGCAGAAGAACTTAAAAGGCACTTCTCCAAAGAGGAAATGTAAAGGGCCAACAGGCATATGAAAAAATGTTCAACATCCCTCATAACCAGGGAAATGCAGATTAAAAACACAATGAGATACCACCTTATATCATTAAGAATGGCACATATCAAAAAAACTAGCAACTACAAATGTTGGCATGTATGTGGTGAAAAAGGAACTCTCCTACACAGCTGGTGGGAATGCAAACTGGTCCAACCACTATGGAAATTGTATGGAGGTTCCTCAGTCTACTAAAAAATGGAGCTACCATATGACCCAGCAATTCCACTCCTAGGGATCTGCCCAAAGGACACAAAAACATTAAATCAAAAGAATCATGCACCCCTTGTTTATTGCAGCACTATTTATTAGGTAAGACTTGGAATCAACCCAAATGCCCAAAAATCAAGAGATGTGGTATATGTATACAATGGAATACTATTCAGCAATCAAAAAAGATAAACTAGGGCCTCCCCTGTTGGCGCAGGCAGTTAAGCGCAGCGCTGTGAAGCTATCCGCAGCCTCTGCAGCGCCAATTTCATCCTGGCTTGCTGGCAAGGGTCCCACATGGCGCGGCAGACCTCTCCTGTCTTGCCCACTGCTCCCCTCAGCAGTGTATTTCGTCAGTCTGCCTGTTCCGTTTCCTGCTGTCTCTGGTGAATCCTCTCACCCTCCCACGCATCTGGCCTGTACCCCAGTTCTTGTATAAATAAATAAATCTTTAAAAACAAAAAAAAGAGGGCCTCCCTGGTGGCGCAGTGGTTGAGTGCTGGGCTGCGAAGCTGCCCGCAGCTTCTGCAGCACTGGTTCGATCCCCGGCCGCAGGCGAGGGTCCCACATGGCACAACAGACCTCTCTTGCTGCGCCTGTTGCTCCCCTCATTAGTATATTTCGTCAGTCTGCCTGTTCTGTTCCCTGCTCTGGCTCTGGTGAATTCTCTCACCCTCCCGTACTTCTGACTGTACCCAGTGCTTGTATAAATAAATAAATCTTTAAAAAAAAAAGATAAACTAATGCCATTTGCAGCAACATGGATGGAACTTGAAAGGATTATGCTTAGTGAAACATTGTAAGAAAAATAAGTAAATAAATAATAATTTTTAAAAAAGAAAATAGAGTTAGCCACACAATTACTTCAGTGGACATTAGCTGTATGACATTAGCTCACACAACTTAACGTAGATCTCAGACTACAATATTTGCCTATATAGTTTGTGACTTTTTAAAAATTATTTCCTATTTTTTAGGATATTAAAGAATCATTCTCATTGGCTTCTATCTGTCATCCTTTCTGTATATTTTTCACTTAGCAACTCCTGCCAGCATCTGTGGAATGAATTTACCTGACATGCCTTTATGTGCTAGAACTATAGCACAAATATAGCTAAATTAACGTTTTAACTTTATGGAAGTGTACTATGCATACAGAAAAAGCACATCTAAGCAAGTATCCTTGTAATAAAACTTGAAGTTAATAAAGTATTAAACCTAATGGGTTTTAAGTGAATGCTCATAATTTGCTCAACTAGCAACTTACTCTACAGGAAGAAAAAAATTCCATAAGTATTTAGGGGTTTTCCTGTATGTTTATTAACTGAGTTTTGGTTTTGATCTTTTTAAGGATGTGGTGGATACACACCCTGGCCTCACGTTCCTGAAAGATGCTCCAGAATTTCATTCCCGCTACATTACCACAGTAGGCTGAGTCCTCTTTTGTCTTAAAATACTCCATAATTGTTCTTTTTTTTTTCATTGCCTAGTATCCAGGCTTTCAGATCTTTATGAAAAAAGTAACACGGGCTATAATGATTATTTTAAGTGGAAGGGGAAAAATACTATAAAATTTATTTAGTTGTTTTGTTATAACATTGGTGAAAAATAAAAACTGACCAACTTTGAATGAATTATATTTTATGACCTGCCTTTTCCCTCTAAGTCATTTTTCTTGTAGTTGCAGTTTCCAAGAACTATGCGTGATGTTAAGTGAGCACTTATTGTAATATAATCATTTTGTATGGGCTTATGAGGTATATATATATCTTTTGCTTTGTCATGTATATTGATGCCCAGTTGATCTTTCACAGCTCTAAATATTACTGAAAAGAATTTTCAGTAGCCTTTCCAGAAAGGGTATTGCCTCAAAGTTAGAACTGGAAATAATAATGAGAAATAGCTTGAATGTAAACAAAAACAAATCATGTAAGAATTTAAAATACCATAATTGCAACCTTCAGTTTTGTGAGATGTTCTCATTCCCTGTTTCCTATGCACAAACTCATTTGATTAGTCAAAAATCATGAATTAGGAGTGAGAGTACTTTCTCTTCCCTGGCACCAAGATTATCTTTGCAGAAATCCCACAGACCAGCCCCAGAACACACCTCACATTCACGGCCGCACTCAAGTGAAACGGCCCATGCTTCTGTCTCAGATCCCTTGTAAACAAGCTAATCTCCTCTGAGGAAGCCTAGAAGGTACTTTTTGCTGGGCATGCATTTATTGGATTCTGTCCGGTTACTTCTGTCAGAATATTACATTTCTTTTCTCCTGCATTCTTTGCTTTTATGTTGACTCTTTTCTGTCACAAAACTTTATAAAATTATATTTGTAAAACCGTATTTGAGCCAGAAGGTGTCAGTGTCAACTAAGACTATCAGAAATTATTTTTGCCTGTTAATGACAGCACTGTGATAAAGTACCTCCTCACAATCACACTGACTCAGTCACCCTATTTTGTCACTTGGATTACTTCTAATTGGTTTCCCTATTTACACCTTCATTGTCCTACAATCCAGTCTTCACATAGCAGAGTAATCCTTTGAAGTAAATCAGAACTTGTCACTCTTCTGCTCAAACTCTTCAAAATGTTCCCATTCACTCAAAATAAAAGCCAAAGTCCATAATCCCTTCACATCCCCTGCTCTCTGTTCTTACCACCTACTAGCCTACTCCTTGCTCTCTGTTTCAGCAACACTGGTCTCCTCTCTATTCTTGGAATAATAGACCAAACCCACTTCCACCTCAGTCACTATGTTCTTAACTCTTTCTTCTGCCTGGAATGCTTTTCCTGTAGATTTCCACATGATTCACACCCTCACGTCATCCAGATAACGTGCTCAGATATTCCCTCATCAGTGGGACCTCCGATACCACCCCTACCCCCATCTCTCCACATAGACTATCCTTTGTTCTGCTTTATTTTTCATTTTAGCTCTTTCTTATATTTAAATGTTTTATTTATTTGTTGTCCATCTTCTTTACTGTAATCTCTGTGAAAGCAGGACATTATTTTTACTGCTGTATCCTCAGTACCTCAAATAGTACCTGTCACATAATAGATACACAATACATATGTATTAATAAATAAGTGAGATTATTCATGCTTAACAATTCTGCATATTAACTCTGTATCCTCAGTACCTCCAGTAGTACCTGGCACAAAATAGATACTGGATCCTCAGTATCTATTCACTACTGTATCCTCAGTACCTCGAATAGTACCTGGCACATAACAGATACACAATACATATTTATTAATTATTTATAAATAAAATAAAGTGAAATTATTCATGCTTAACAATTCTGCATATTAACTCTGGCTTTAAATCCAAAGAAATTACTAGGTTGTGATTGTTGACTGTTTATGAACTCAGAATATCTTAATAGCATGATTTAGAATCTTAAGAGTTAGAAAAGATCTAAAAGATAACCTAGTTCAACCTTCTCTCAATTCAGAAAATGCTGAACCCAGGAAGTTTTTGCTGGAATTTATTCTTAAGAGAGATGTTAAAGCACAGAATAGTAAAATAGAGATGTATTTTCTTTCTGTATGTTTTCTAGTATGATACTTATTGAAATATGATCCCTATGTAATCCAGCAAGTGGTTCCCAGGAAATTTTATGATTTCAGAGTAAAAAGCCCTGAAATAATTTTGTTCACTTGTAATTCACATTTTCCAAGAAATTCTATTATGTTAATCATTGAACAAAACAAGTGTCAATTAGTCAGTTAAGACGACACAGCTAATTATCTCTGCTGACATCTTCATGGCACTTGCATATTATTATTTAGATTTTTTAGATTTATATTGTTTGTACTATGCTGCTTTATTCCCAGTTCACAAAATGAATCCATTACTCAGAAGGTGTTGTTAAAGTATAAAATATTTGTAATAATATAATGCTAATAGGGCAGTGCCAAACAACATCATGACATAAGTAGTAAGCAAGATGAAATGAGATTATAGAATGTAAATTTGTATTTACTGAGGAAAGTGAATCTGCTGTTGTGATCATTAGATACCATCCAAAAAAGCAAAGTGCAAATGAAAATATCACAATGAGTATCTGGAAACAGAATTTTATTGGACTGTTCTCCCAGTGCCTTTTCTTTTATGAAATTTGGTTAAATAATGACCTGCAGTCATTGAAACTTTTGCATTATTTCAAAGTACAGTGAGTTTTTATAGGGAAAAAATAAGTTTTCCAGTATGAGGTTATTTTTTTTTTTGTTAAAGCATAAAAGTAACTGAATTAGAAAGGCATCATTCTCTACCCTGCTCATAGGGAAAACAGATAAGATCACACTATTTCCAAGAAACATACAAAATCAGCCTCAAAATTAATTTATAAAATTACCCTATTGAATATTATGTAATATCTGTGGCATGCAGTGTAGAAAAATGAATATCTTTTGTTTGCCTGCTAGAGTTATTCAATTATTTCACTTTATAGTTGGAAAAAATTACTGACAACAGAGTATTTAGCTCATGTGTGGCACATATATGCTAAAGAAAAATTGTACAATTTTTATTTTCAGTTTATCATTGTGCAACAGGAAAAAACTATTTTGTCAGCTGTGTTTTTTTTTTAAGATTCATTTATTTATGCATACAAGAACTAGGATACAGGCCAGAGATGTGGGGGGTGAAGCATTCACCAGAGACAGACTGGGGAACAGAACAGGCGGATTGACGGAAATACGCTGCTGAGGGCAACAGCAGGCGAGTCAGGAGAGGTCTGCTGCGCCATGTGGGGCCTCCCAGGTGGCACAAGGGGTTAAGACGCAGCACTATGAAGCTATCTGCAGCACTGCAGCACAAGTTCGATTCCTGGCCAGGGAGGTGACCCACATGGCACAGCAGGCCTCTCCTGTCTTGCCTGCTGCTCCCCACTCTGTCTCTGGTGAATCCTCTCACCCCTGCATCTCTGGCCTGCACCCCAGCTCTTGTACGCATAAATAAAAAAGTCTTTTAAAAAAATAATAAAGACGGAGGGAGCATCAACTTTGCATATAGCAGAAAAGGACATCACCACCCAAATAGAGATTGCATGTAAAGTCATTCCACAGTCTCCTTTATTTCCAAAAAAGAGTTGGCAAATGAGATATGAAGTCTTTTGATACTGAGTGAAAATGAAAATTGGAAATCCCAGCAAATTGTAGCCCTTGAGTTTGCAATTTTGCATGTCACGCTAAGAAATTGCCAGTGAATGAAATACTGCTTATCCTAACTGGCACATGCTGACTTTTGAGGAAAGAGGTGCTCATGAATTTTTAAATGAATGATGCTTTATGACATTGGTGCTGACAGTAAAGATATTTCTGAGGCTTGCTCAGATGATTCATAATTTGGTATCTAGCTTGGCCTGAATCCATCACTTCAGGCTGAAATGCCAGGATTTTTATTGTTCAGGACAATGCTTCCTAAGATACTGAATTGTGGTGAAAACTGTTCATTACTAACAGCTTACTCTTTCCCCTTGAGACCTTGTCCTCTTGACAAAGAAATAATTTTTATTTGATAGATTTTTTTTAAGTTCAAGTTCTTCAAAAGACTGTGAAGAAATACTTTTCAGAGCTATGTTAACCAAAGAGTGAACCAGGAAACCATTAACTACCCCCTTCCAAGCAGATCCAGGCTTCCAGCACTTGAGATTTTTCATCTACATTTAAGTCACCTACAATGAGAAATCTCTTTGCAATATCTATGTCTGCGTCAATCCTCTCGTCAAAAACTCAGACACTACCACCAAACACTTCCATTCCAGTCACCTATATTGTGAATTAGAGGTTTACAATGTAATACATCTAAAGAAAAAAAAAAAGTTGAGAAGGCAAATTTCATTACTTTACTGGTAATAAACAATTATTCTCACTATTATTAATTTTTTTAATTTGTCTGATATTTTTAAGTTGTGATTAATTTCTTTTTTTTTTTTTAACCTAAAAAATAGAACTAACAGCTACATAATCTCACCACTAGATGGTATCCCTCCCTCGCTTGATGAGCTAAAATGCTGAATCAGTAATATAGAAACCAACAAATGTGCTGATGAAGTAGGGCCACTGAATAAGCAGATTTAGGCTATGGAAAGTGGAATACAGATAGTTGGGGTTTTTTTAATAGTATTAGGGAAATATGTTATTAGAGACTAAAAATAGGAGATACCTAGCAGACAAAAACATCTGCAAATTGGGTCTCACCCGCTGCTCCCCTCAGCAGTGTATTTCAATCACTCTGCCTGTTCTGTTTCCCACTCTGTCTCTGGTGAGTCCTCTCACCCCCTGCTTCTCTGGCCTGTACCCAGCTCTTGTATGCATAAATAAATAAATCTTTTTAAAAAATCTGCAAATTTAAAATACTCTATCAAAAAGAACAGAAAAGAACAAAAAGCAAAAATAAATTCAGATTAACATTTTATAATTTTAAGTATAACAGTACTTCTATAAAAAAATATTTGACAAGTTTATAAATATAAAATTTAGATAGGAAATTTAGAGTTTAAGATAAATTTATATTTAATATCAAGAATTAAGGATAAAATTCAACAAAGGAAAAATTGGTATAATAAAATTGAAAATGAATTTAACTTAAGAGAGAGGACTTGGGGTTATAATACATGGATTTTTTTTTAAGTAACACTGCATTATAACATACAAGTTTCAGGTGTGCATCACTGAATATAAACATTGATTCTTTTTTTTTTTTTTTTTTTTTTTTTTTTTTTTTTTTTTTTTTATAGAGGCATGCTTTATTTATTTGTTTGCTGGTTTCTTTGTTTGTTTTTTGTTTATACATGCACTGGGTACAGTCAGAAGCGCGGGAGGGCGAGGGAATTCACCAGAGCGGGGAGCAGAGCAGGCAGAAGGACCGAAGTACACTGCTGAGGGGAGCAGCGGGCGGCAGGAGAGGTCTGCGCGCCATGTGGGACCCTCCTCCGGTGGCCGGGGAGCAGCCGGGGATCGAACCGGCGCCGCAGAGGCCGCGCGCAGCTTCGCAACCCAGCGCTCAACCGCTGCGCCACCGGGGAGGCCCATAAACATTGATTCTTAATGTTTATATTCATTTATATAAATTCTTTGCTAAAAATCCTCATCCTTTTTATATGAACTTTTGCCATATTAGTGCTAGGAATACATTGTCAAATAAGACATTCTTTGCTCTTAAGGACCTCAGTCAGAGTCTGAGTGATTGGAGCTAGTAAAGAAATTAGACAACAGGTTGTCTCCAGTCCCACTTATCATAGGATTCCTGTCATATTCTTCCTAAATACTATGATGAGAATAAACCTCACTGCGTCATACAACCCACTGCTTCGTAAAGCTAATTTTAGAAAATCCTTCCTTATATTGCAGCATCTCAGTATAATGGCCATCCAGTTCTATCCTTCTGTGCAACACAGAACAAGTCAGCTTCTTCTTCCACCCGGTAGTAAGCCATTCAGATCCGATCATGGTTCAGAACATAGCCACATCTACACTCTAGACTTATTTTTTCCTTAAGACTAAAATTACTACATTAGTATTTTTCACAATAATTTTGAATATGGTTATCCTCCCCTGCCTTATGTTTTCTGCACATTTTATATGCAATCTTTGTGTAAATCTTAAACAATAATACTGATTTATGTGAAATACTTATCAGAAACCATTTTGGGATTGGCATCTACCTGCTATTCAAATTTTGGAAATATTTAGCTATAAATGTCTTATCACAAAATTAACAGGAAAGTCCTTGTTACAGGGCTTCCAAACCTCATTAATTTACAAGCACTAATTGTCCATCTGATATATGCCAAGCATTCTATTACTTATGGGATGCAAGTCAAGAAACACCTGGTTCCTTAGAATACAGAAGTAACTGCATCAATGTTTAGTATATAACCACAGAATGACCCAAGAGACTCAGTGACCTCAGGAGTACAGATGATAGAGCTCTACCCCATCCCAGTTCTACAGCTACCTCTAAAGGATGACAATAGAACTACATTTTGGAGGGTCAAAAGGAATCAGCACTGATGGCAGGGGTCAAATGAGGAATGCTGAGCAGCAGAGGTTTGGGTCTTTATATTGGTGATAATTTTTCTGTTCTATTTGAGAATCATTCTTTACTAAAGAGTCCAGAAACAGAATAGTGGTTTACTCCCTTCTTAGACCTACTCTTTACCCAAAGATGTCTAAATATCTTCCTTCTTATTGTTCTTCTTGTACTAAAAATAACTTTTAAAGGGAATATAAGGGGCCTCGCTGGTGGCGCAGCGGTTGAGCGCTTGGCTGCGAAGCTGCCCGCAGCCTCTGCAGCGCCGGTTCGATCCCCGACCACCAGGTGAGGGTCCCACTTGGTGCGCAGACCTCTCCTGCTGCCTGCTGCTCCCCTCAGCAGTGTACCTCGGTCCTTCTGCCTGTTCTGCTCCCCGCTCTGGCTCTGGTGAATTCTCTCACCCTCCTGCGCTTCTGACTGTACCCAGTGCTTGTATAAATAAATAAATAAATAAATAAATCTTTTTAAAAAAAAAAGGGAATATAATTGCTTCCATCATAAAACTACCATGTCTATACTATTAGGCATTCTATACTATTAGATATATAAATTTCTATATGATACTATTAGACATTCAAAATCAAATCCAAAGTACCCAATAGAGTACTTTAAATTACTCCTCATGACTGCTTACATTTCAGAAAACAACATGTAGATCAAAGGGAAATTAAATGGATGGTAATCACCCCCAGGTAAAATTAAGAATGCATCGCAGTCTCCAGGTTAACAGCCTCTATCTTCCCTCTCCAATCCTTCCCCTCACCACAGCACACACGTCTCCATCTCTGAGACACATTTTCTGCCCATCCCCTCATCTCCCATCTTGCCCAGTTAAAACACTAGCTGATAATAACAGAATTGTTCGTGCCCAAATAAGGACTCATTGGGATATAAATTATCCCAAATGTATTGAGTTTAGGATGAGTTTCTCTGTTGAGAAAGAGTGCAAGACTTGAAGTTTTCAAGCCTCAAGATTCTTATGAATAAGGCTATAAAGTAAACAGAATAATGAATCATACACTTTGGCAGTCATTTTTCTGATACACTCATTGTTAAGCCAGTCCAACATATACTTCCCACCTCATTTGCTTTTCCAGCATATGCATTCCAATAAGCACTGCTTGCATCAGGCGTCACTGTGTAAGATGAGAAACAAAGAATTGTCATGTAGGCAGCTGTGAAGTGCAGGCTTGTGAGCAGAGAAATTTTTTTTTCTTCTGGGAATTACAAGGATAAAAGCAAAATACATAGATCTAGGCTTTTAAAATACAGTGGTAATTTTTTACTGGAAATTATACCTAACATAATCATAAAGTCAAAACTTAGCTTGGCTCAAAGCTTATAAGGTGGCCTTTAGTGTAATAATAGGTATCTTTAATGTTTTTATTTAATTTTTTTTTCCTTTTGAAACCAGGTTATTCAGAGAATATTCTATACAGTCAACAGATCCTGGAGCGGAAAAATTACTTCGACAGAGATAAGAAAAAGCAACTTTTTGCAAGTATGCCTCTCTGGAATTTATATATAAAGAATAATTTAAAAATTCTTACTTTAAAAATACTTGAGCTTACTGTATGTAAAGAACCATTACTACTTTCAGTCATTAATCATATCAGATATCTATAGTGGGACACTGGGATGTGTTGGGGAGTTGGTAGGGGGAGAAATGAACAGCAGTGGATGTCTGTCTTAAGGCAGGTACTATGGCACAAAAGAGAAAAGTGCATAGACAGGCACACCTGACTTGGAGAATTCCACAGAAATGTAGGGGTGTGCAGAGGCTTCACAGAAAGAATGCCATGTGATCTTGAATTTGAAATCAGGAGTTTACCCAGGATGAAACATTGGAAGAAAGGGGGATTCTATATAGAGGAAATAGCATAAGCAAAGGCCCAGAAAACTGAAAGCATCATGTGCAGGAACTGCAGACCAGTCTTAAGTGGCCCCTGGAGAGAGGAACCAGTGACGAGGCCTAAAGGGTGAGATGGAGCTGGGTTGGAAAAGTCTTTCCAAAAGAAGAGGAGGAAATTTGTCTTGATGGTCAGCAATGACCATACAGCTCCTGTCAGAGAAAATTACTGAAAATTCCCTTTAAGAATAGTACACATTTTATTCAATTACTTGATTTTACCAATAAGAAAGAAGCTATTCACCACTCATGGGAAACTTTTACTGAGGTAATCTTTATGCCTGATCATATAATTTCTAGTAGCTAAAATACTCCCAAAGAGTTCTAGTAGCTAATACTCCACCAGGGCCTAGGGGTTAAGTCTCAGCACTGTCACCTCCATGGCCTGAACTAATCCACGCATGGTACAGCAGACCTCTCCTATCTCAACCGCTGCTACACCAAGCAGTGTATTTCAGTAAATCCGCCTGTTCTGCTCCCCACTCTGTCTCTGATGAATCCTTTCCTCCTAGCCCCAGAACCCCTAGCCTATACCCCTGTTCTTCTGTGCAACAATAAAAGATATTAAAAATAGGGCCTCCCTGGTGACGCAAGGGGTTAAAACGCAACCTATGAAGCTTTCCACAGCCTCTGCAGCACGTGTTTGATCCCCCAACCAGCCAGGGAGCAACCCACATGGCACAGCAGACCTCTCGTGACTCACGTGCTGCTCCCCTCAGCAGTGTATTTCAGTCATTCTGCCTGTTCTGTTCCCCACTCTGTCTCTGGTGAATCCTCTCACCCGCCCCCCCTACCTCTGACCTGTGCCCCAACTCTAGTATGCATTAATAAATAAAGAACTACTAATTTAAAATATATATATGAAAAATAAATAAGTAGAATTGTTCACACTTGAAAGGAAATGAAATCTTCTGTTTTAAATGAATCATACAGAATGAAGCTTAGACAAATAATAAAACTTTATTTACTCTATTTCTCTTATCTTCATCTGGAGCCAACCCAGTAATAAGGACTTGTTAAAATTAGCAGTGCACAGTTAATGCAGATTTTTTTAATTCTAAAATGAACAGTAATCATCACCATCATAGTTAACATTTACTGAATACCTGGTGCCTTCCTGGGGTCTCAGTAATAGCATGGGATGAGTTGTGATGGCAATAATTCTGTAAGAGACTTTACACCTTAAGAATGATAATAATCCTTCACATACTCAAACTACATTATAGTTTGTAGTTGCTAGAGCATTACTACTATTACGCATTTCTTTTAATGACAGTAAATTTGAGTCCCAAATATGATTGAATGACTTAGATAAGATCACACAGCTGAACTGGAAATAGAACACAAGTGTTCTGCTCCCTAGAGTTTGATTTGTTACCCTTCTTTTTTTCTTTCCTATCTATCTTCAGTCTTCCTCTTAGCAGTTCTTACTCTATGTGCTCGTGTGTTCTCTTTCATTTGCGTATATAGATTTTAGAATTTTACATAGTTTTAGTGTATACAACCTTGTATCTGTATTTTACCTCATAATTGATTTCCTTTGATTTTATATGCACTTTATAATTTATACTATTTTACATATTATAATTTTATAATCTTCCATTGAGTGGGTTTAATATAATTTAATAATTTGTTATTTTCAATTTGCCAGAGCATTTAGGTTTCCCAGTAATTACTTTATAGAAAATAATTGTTATCAAAGTAATACATTTGTATTATGAAAGTCATCTCTGTCTCTTAAGATGTTTTTAGCCTTGAATTCCATTTTATTTTTTAATGATATTAGCACATTTCTTTTTGTTAGTATTTGTAGCATATATGTTTGTCCAACTTTGTTTTTCAGACTTTTTAAATTTTAGACTTATCTTATAGGGTCAAGATCTTTGACAAGTTCTTGGCAGATTTTACTTCTACCATCTCATTTTTGTTTTTTTCTATTTCCTAAGTTTCCTTATGGTCTCTTTTATCTTTCTTTCTAAATCTTTGATTTTTAATAATGTCTTCATTGGTGTGCCCCCTTATATGATAATCTGGCTGATTATAGATTTCTGGGTGCAAAGTCATTATTTCTGGTATTTTCCTTGGGGATTCATAATTAGTCAGGAGAGACCCAGGTTTACTTGCAATTCAGGGCCTATCCACTTACAGTTCTATATGCATGCCTTCTGTGCTAGGCACCACATGCCATCACAGTGGTTTACATAAGTAACCTTTATGGTGAACTTGATTTCATTACTGAACCAAAACCTGTATGTGGATTCCTACTTTCCATAATACATTGCTCTCATAACTTTTAAAATTAAGAGCAATGTCATTTTATGACCATGTATCTAAACCTGTTGTCTACTTGTTCTGTGTTTGCCTGTCTGGGTACCTCTGATAGGCTGCAGTCCTCTCAGTGATAATCCTTTCTTTTTCCCTGTTTTTAAATGCTGCATAGTACTTAACCCTTTGTTAAGGATATTACAGAGCTTATAAATGCTTATAGATTGATGAGTTGATTAAAAGTAAGATGAAGTTGGCTATTAAAGTTACTGGTTTGGTACCAAAACCAAAATTTTTAATTCAATTTAAAATAAAAATTCATTGTATTTTTATAGTGGCCAAAACTGGCTTTTCAGAATTTTAAATTAATCCTTCTTTTCATACTATTTTCAGACTCTGGCCCTTTTGGAAGAAGAGGAAGATATAAACCAAATCACAGATTACTTCTCCTATGAACATTTCTATGTTATTTATTGTAAATTCTGGGAACTAGATTGTGATCATGACCTCTACATCAGCCAGGCTGATCTATCTCATTACAATGACCAAGGCAAGTGATTCTATAAATGCTAAGACTTAATCATTTTGAAGAAGGCAAGTCATCATGAGAATTCCCATTTCTAAATTTATCTAATCAAGTCCTCTTTAAAAGGCTAAGAAATTTTAAATGAAAATAGGAGAAGATCATTTTATTTTTTATTTAGAAGCCAGAGAAAGGGGTTTGAGTTAAGTAAGCAATTAAAGTCTTGGTTTTGATAAATTATTGAATCTTTATCATAATGCTTATTATCTAATGGTGAAATGAAAAGATCCACATCTATGTAAAGTTTATTTGAAAGCTTTGTACTGCTTTATAAATTTCCTATTTTACAGAATTTACAAAAGGTTATAAAAAGCCAGGAATGAAAATAATCTTCTACCTTGTTTTCAAGGACTCATAAAACTTACTTTTTGGAGTTTATATCCAGAAAAGATAGTTCCTCTACAGATGAATTTGGTGTAGTTTCTTTTGTCAGAAAACAAAATATTACATACCATATGATATTACTTACCTGTTTTATGTCATTTTTACTAGTAGAAAACATAGACCCTATTGCCTACAGATTTAATATTTTTAATCAAACAGCAAAATACATTCATTCATTATTCTCACATAAGATTGTCCCTGTTCTAGTCTTAAATGTCTTTTCGGGCACTGTATTGTTTAATATAGCCCTTAAATATAGCAATACAAATTCTAAATAAATTTCACTTCTGTATTTAACAGATCTATGGCAAATTGTATATATTTTTTAAAAAGATTTACTCTATATCAACTTTCATAGAACTTTCTATATTTAGGAAATAGATTTTTACCTCTCAAATTCTCAAATGCCAAGCAGATATCAAAAGGAAAATACTCATATGTATTGATTTGAAAAACAAGCATCTTAGTACTATTTCCTCTTCAAATAATAACCTCCCTTTCACCAGACTAGCATAAAGCTGGAGATACTCATATCAGGTCAGCTTTATTAACTATGTACCATCTGATTATGTGTATAACATGAGCTAGACTCTAGAGGTGATGTGCAACTCTATGGACTCTAAGGCAACTTTGTGCCTGACATGACCATAACACAAGTCTTAAAATTGTATATACACATATAACAACTCATTAGAATCATGTTAAAGGGAAATAATATGGAAAAACAGACATGTAATCAGCATAATAAAGCAGCCACTGAAATTCTACTTAGATCCCCTCCTACTAACCTGTCTTTAATGGTACAATGTGATCTTGAGTTTTAGGAGGTTAAGCCTTCAAATCTAAAAAATGGCTTAGTTTTAGAATTAATTACCCTTGCCTTTTTCTGAAAAGTCTTCTTTTCTATCTAGTACAAGTTATTAACCCCTTAAACCAATGCTCAACAAAGTCTACAGAATCCTCGTATTAGCTTTGGTATGTGGTCAGGCATGGTTATACTCACACCCATATTCCCAACATTCTTCAGCCAAACTAACTTACCTTTATGTTGACCGTATCTGACTCTGAAGAAGCGATAAATGCTGATAACTGCTGACTCACTGGTCCTGAAATTTTAGTGTGGATGCCATTGCCTGGAGCACTTGTTAAAAGAACTGATTCCTGTTCTCTTACATTCCTAGGTCTAAAATCCTTGGAGATTTCCATTAAAAAGCAAAGCCTTTGGTTATTTTTTTTTAAGATTTATTTATTTATTTATACGAGCACTGGGTACAGTAAGAAGCACAGGAGGGTGAGAGAATTCACCAGAGCCAGAGCGGGGAGCAGAACAGGCAGACTGACGAAGTACACTGCTGAGGGGAGCAGTGGGTGCGGCAGGAGAGGTCTGTGTGCCATGTGGGACCTTTGCCTGCGGCCGGGGATTGAACCGGTGCTGCAGAGGCTGCAGGCAGCTTCGCAGCCCAGCGCTCAACTGCTGTGCCACCAGGGAGGCCCGCCTTTGGTTGTTTTTAACCCACAATGAGGTGCTTTCTCTAAGATCTATTATCAAACAGGATGTACTATCTTAAGTACTAACTTGTCTCTCTCTTTGAATAAAATAAAGTCATACATTAAATCATGTTACATGCTGGACTTTCACAGAATGAGAATATGAGAAAAATATGTCTCTGGTATGTTTTGATATCTTTTATAAAATTCTACTGAAAGCATTCTGCATTGTTTTACTCAAAGTTCCTTATGTTAGGAGCTAATGATCAGTACTCCTTGAACTTAATGCTAGAACAAAATCTGTCTTGTTTCAGAGGAAAAAAACTGTCATATTGGGTAATGATCAATATAAATTCTGTACATTTTTGTCTTACTTATCCCTAGATGTTCAGAACTAACTTGACATTCAAATATGTAATATATCTCTGCTGTCAAGCGAATCCATTTGCCTCTTCTTTTTAAAATCATTCATTGAGGGCCTCCCTGGTGGCAGAGCGGGTTGAGCACAGCGTTGTGAAGCTGTCCGCAGACTCTGCAGCGCTACCCACATGGTGCAGCAGACCTCTCCTGTCTCGCCTGATGCTCCCCTCAGCAGTGTATTTTAGTCTGTCTGCCTGTTCTGCTCCCTGCTCTGTCTGCTGAATCCTCTCACCCTCCCGCACCTCTGGCCTGTACCCTAGCTCTTGTATGAATAAATAAAATCTTTAAAAACAAATCATTCATTGATTAAGTATTCTCAAATTCTTACTTTTAAAAAGTATAAATTATACATAAGTAAAAATTTAACTACTTACTGTCTCATCATAGAGTATTATGTTTTAGCTTGTAGCTAGTAATAATAAGTTTGCGGAAGTGTTGCCTTATGAAACTTGTTTCTAACAAGAGTATTACTTTCTTATTTATATTTAGCTTCTTCAAACAGGATTATTGAAAGGATATTCTCTGGGGCAGTAACAAGGTAAGAAAAGTCATCTGAGTTTAAAAGTAAACTATAAGTAATACTGTAACCATCTAATTTTAGCAAGTTTTCCTGCATAATTTGACAGCACTATGGGTCAGATAATATCCTACAAAACATATAGTCATGACTTCATACGAAACAATTAATTCTCCAGTAAAGGCATAAATCTTATATTTAAATACAGGAAACAATATTGGATCCTAGTAAATATTTGCATTCCTATTGGAAATGAGATTTCTTTCTTCGGATCTGCACATGGCTTCTGCTCTTACTCTCTCAGCCTTTGAAAACACAATAGGTCATGAATGGATTTCCTTTTGTGACATTTCTAGCATTCTAATTATTTTTTAAATTTTAACTTTTCTTCAAAGAAAGGTATTTATTTCTTAGTCTATCATCTACATCTATCATCTTAGTCTATCAAATGTATCTGAGTAATTGCTCAAGAAATTTTATGACCATGTGTTTTTTTCAGGGGAAAAACAGTACAGAAAGAGGGAAGAATGAGCTATGCAGATTTTGTTTGGTTTTTGATCTCTGAGGAAGACAAAAGGAATCCCACCAGGTATGATTTCTATGTTTACTTTGCCAACATGTTAAACACATGAACAATGGTTGAAAAAGTCATGACGTTGTCTCCCTGGTGGTGCAAGGGGTTAAGACACAACCTGTGACACAGTCCACAGCCTCTGCAGCACAAGTCCAATCCCCAGCCGGCCAGGGAGCAACTCACATGGCACAGTAGACCTCTCCTGTCTCGCCCACTGCTCCCTTCAGCAGTGTCCTTCGGTAAATCTGCCTGTTCTGTTCCCCACTCTGGTGAATCCTCTCACCCCCCACACCTCTGACCTGTACCCAGCTCTTCTTGTATGCATCAATAAATAAATCTTGGAAAAAAGAAAAGAAAAAGTCATGATGTATATATTTAGTGAAGGCCAACATGACCTCAGACATAGTCTCAGTACAGGAAGGGAGGTGGGCACTGAATCCACAGTTACAGCCTACCAAGAGAAGGGATGCTACCCTCAAAAACAAAGGTGAAGTGACCTGTGAGGTGACAATGAGAAATAAGTAGTGTTAGTAACCATTTATATGGAATGTAGGGATATATGTAGATTGTAGCTGTTTTATGACCTTCATGGTACAGTAGTACATTGGAGAGAAGAAGAGCGAATTGTGGATTATTAGAACACATCTTCATTCTCCCAGTTAGAATTATCAGTTCTTTTTCTTGACACTTTCAAACATACCTTGATTTGTGGTTATTAAAATATGTATCTGTTTTCCTGCTTATAATTTATCTCTTATTTAAGCCAATAATCTCAGACCCTCTCTTCTTTTTATTCCTAGCTTGTGTGACACAATGCACTACACACAGTTTGTACTCTGGACCAAGGGAGGAAAAGACTATAGTCCTTGGTGCTGCTTGCTGCTATAACTGACAGTTATGTGTCTGTATGTTGAGTGTTTCAGGAAGTTATCTAAATGTTGGATATAGGGTTTGGAAATTATTCAAGTAGAAATAAAATTTAAGACAGTTTATTAGATTATTTTTAACTGCTTTTAATTTCAAAGATAGTAATTTATTTTCCAGTCTAGACAATTTAGAAAACACGAATAAGCAGAAGAAAATAAGGTTTCCCTAATACTTAAATTTGAAAGTTAGTATATTAGCTAGTATATAACATTATTGAAAGTTAATATATATTGTACAATCTTTTTCATAAATATTCTCACATACTCTGAACATTTAGATTCATTCCTTTGGATTAAATCATAATTATCATCCAGTTCAAAATTTTTATGGAACATTCTCCTAAATATCCTCTGGTAGTTGGAGCTAAATAGTAGAAACAGCTACTGGGTTTTTTTCTGTAAAATAAATTTCAAATAAAGGAGGTGCTAGGTTAAAGGATATGGATGTTTATAAAAATTATTAAATTATTCTCCAGAAAAACTATTATTTTACACCTTTATCAACAGCTAAGCATATTTCCTAGGATCCTTGCTAACACTAAGTAATTTCCTCTTAAAATATTTTTTAGTTTGATAAATTAAAAGTTTGGTGTTTTATTTTGTATTTCTTTTGATTACTAGTGAGGGAGAATTTTGTAATAAATTTTTAGCAGTTTTTATTTTTCTTAGGTAACCAGCCTTTTCATGTCTTTTGCTCATTTCAGCTATGTTATTTTTTAAGTTTATTTTATCAAAAATACCCACTAAGTATTTAAAATTTATAAAATACACTCAAAAATCTTAATTAAAAATTCATAATTCCATGTTTATGTAGTTAACATTTTGATGTATGTCTTTCCTGCCTCTTCTCCTCCTCCTCACTTCCATCCTTTTCCCTCTTTCTTTCATCCCACTCCCATTGTGCCCCACTTACATCTTTCTTCTCCTCCTCACATTTACTCCTTTCTCCCTTCCCTGTTTTCTCCCTGCGCCAAGTGATACAATATGATTAATCACATCATACACATCATACCGTACAGTTCTGTAGCACACTTTCTCACATAACAGTATATTTCCATACCAGTAAGTATGCATGTTTATAACTTATCATTAGTCTCATTATTTTTTTTAAAGATTTATTTTTATTTATATAAGAACTTGGGTACAGGCCAGAGGTGCAGGAGGGTGAGAGGATTCACCAGAGACAGTGTGGGGAGTAGAACAGGCAGATGGACTGAAGACACTGCTGAGGGGAGCAGCAGGCGAGGCAGGAGAGGTCTGCTGCTCCATGTGGGTGTCTCCCTGGCCAGCCAGGAATCGAACTTGCACTGCAGAGGCTGTAGACAGCTTCGCAGCGCTGCGCTCAACTCACTGTGCCAGCAGGGAGGCCCAGTATATTATTTTTAATGCTTAGGTTGTTTCAATTAGATTACCTTAATTCCCAAAGTTTTAAAAGCTGCATTTTTCCATTTCTTGTCTCTTTGGTGTCCTGCTAACCCTCTTAGTTTTAACCTTTTGTCTTTAATCATTCCTTAATCATGGGAAAACTTTTTTCAAATACATTCCAACTATGTTTTTCTTTTCTGGAACTCCTATCCCACAGGAGATAATGAAGACAACTAGAAATGGTAATAAAGAAAGCTAATATAACAAACTTTATAAGTACACACTTGCTCTCCTTTCTTCTCTCAACTTCTTTAAAAATCATAAAATTATGGGCCTCCCCTGGTGGCACAGCGGTTGAGCGCAGCTCTGTGAAGCTGTCCACAGCCTCTGTAGCGCGGATTCGATCCCAGCCAGTCGGCCAGTATCCCACATGGTGCTGCAGACCTCTCCTGTCTCGCCAGCTGCTACCCTCAGCAGTGTATTTCAGTAGATCTGCCTGTTCTGCTCCCTGCTCTGTCTCTGGTGAATCCTCTCACCCTCCCATGCATCTGGCCTGTACCCCAGTTCTTGTATGCATGAATAAATAAATCTTTAAAATAATAATAATAAAAATCATAAAATTATATAATAATTTGAACAATATATGAATAGGTTTGTGACACATAATGTTTTAATATGTAGGATAATAATAGCACAGTAAGAGGAAAGGAGGGAAAAGTTACATAGAAACATTTCAATACCTCACTGCAGATAAGAAATAGATTCTAATTAGTTTAAATATGGTAAGCCCTAGAGTAACTACTTAAATATATACATAGGTGGGGGGCGGAATCATTGAAAGAATTAAAATGTTATACTTGGAAAACACTCACCTACTGTAAAAGAAAGTAGTCAAGAGACATAAAGGAAAAAACTCCCAAGACATATAGAAAACAAAAAGTAAAATGACAGATATAAGTTCAACTTTATCAATGATAACATTAAATATGAATGGATCAAACAGTTCCATCAAAAGACAGAGATTTTTCAGACTGAATTTTAGAAAAAATATAATTATATTCTATTTACATGAGACATATATTATATTTAAAGATAGAAAAGGAATGAAAAAGGACAATGAAAGATAAAGATAATGTCATTGAAACAATGGTAGGAAATCAAGAGTGGCTATATTAATATCAGAGAACATACTTTAATATAGAAAATGTTACTACAAACAAGAATAATTTATATGATGAAAGGCTTGATCCAACAGGAAGACAATTACAGTTATGTATCTGAAATACCTGTTATCTCCCACACCAGGATGATAACTAAAACACTTACCACACTCTGTTCCAGGCTGATGTATCTAAAATATTTGCCTTCCCCCACAAAGAAATGCTTTACAACAATGGAGGATATAACACAACAGAATAAAAATAATGAAAATATGAGGCAGCTACATTCAGAAATAATGGAATTAGGAAACACTATATTTGATTTTAAAAATACAATTGGAGGCCTTAATAGCAGACCAACAGAAGCAATGGAGAAAATTAGTAAATTTGAAAACAAAGTACTGACAAACACAATAACAGAACAAGGTAGAGAATAAATGAAAACAGTGTGGGTCTCCCTGGTGGTGCAGCGGTTGAGCGCTGGGTTGCGAAGCTGCCTGCAGCCTCTGTATTGCCGGTTCGATCCCTGGCTGCCGGGCGAGGGTCCCACATGGCACGCAGACCTCTCCTGCCGCCCGCTGCTCCCCTCAGCAGTGTACTTCAACAGTCTGCTCGTTCTGCTCTCCGCTCTGGCTCTGGTGAATTCTCTCACCCTCCCGCACTTCTGACTGTACCCAGTGCTTGTATAAATAAAATAAAAATAAATCTGAAAAAACAAACAAACAAAACAGTGTGAGAAATCTCTGTGATGACCAAAGGAGAAATAATATCTGTATCATGAGGATCCAGAAGAAGAAAAAGAGAAAGGCATAGAAAACCTATTTAAAGAAATAATCACTGAAAACCATCTCCTTCTGGGATATGAGCCAGAAGTTGTGATTCAAGAAGCCCAAAGAGTTCCAAACAAAATATAGACATACACGAAGACAAATTAAAATTAAGTGGTCAAGGGGTTAAGCACCGCACTATGAAGCAATCCGCAGCCTCTGCAGCATGAGTTCGATCCCCAGCCAGCCAGGGAGCAACCCACATGGCACAGCAAACCTCTCTTCACTCGCCCGCTGCTCCCCTCAACAGGGTATTTCGTCAGTCTGCCTGTTCTGTTCCCTGCTCTGTCTCTGGTGAATCCTCTCACCTCCCACACCTCTGGCCTGTACCCCAGCTCTTGTATGCATAAATAAATAAATCTTTAAATAAAATAAAGTAAAATTAAGCTGTCAAGAACCAACAATAAGGATAAAATACTAAAAATCTCAAGGAAAAAAAAGGGGTAAGCAATAGGGAAACACCAGTCAGACTAACTGACGCTGTTTCATATAGCATTATAAGTACAAAGGTACTGGGAAAAGATACTCAAAGTACTTAAAAGAAAAGACTTCCAGACCCAACTAAAGATCAACAATCAAGATAGAAAGAAGAGGGAAAAAAAAAAGGAACTAATTTTAAAAGCAAAATCTGACAGGATTTATCAACACCATGATGCATATAAAAAATTCTAAAGGTGTTATAAAGCAACATAAGAATTAATATAGAGGCAATAGACATCTAAATTACTTAACACGGA